TTGTGTTTCTCTGTGGTCGTCTTGATATCTTTGTGGTTGTTTTGTGTGTCTCTGTGGTCGTCTTGATATCTTTGTGGTTGTTTTGTGTTTCTCTGTGGTCATCTTGATATCTTTGTGGTTGTTTTGTGTTTCTTTGTGGTCGTCTTGATATCTTTGTGGTCGTTTTTTTTCTCTGTGGTTGCTTTGTAAACAGTATTTAAAGGATTAATGTTATTGGTTAGCATAAGATCAATACTAACAATTCTGTGTCATTAAAAAAAATGTTTGTGAACAGTCTTCTCAAACAGGGGCTCTGTACACAAGATCAATATTTTACTGATCAGACCACTGATGACAGATTTATATTTTTATATATCGAAAGAAATATGTTATAGCATTCAAACAAAACATGGAGCAAATCAAACATCAGTCAGACAGACAGGTGAGAGACAGGTGAAGCAGGTCAAGGACAGGTGAGAGACAGGTGAAGCACGTCAAGGACAGGTGAGAGACAGGTGAAGCACGTCAAGGACAGGTGAGAGACAGGTGAAGCACGTCAAGGACAGGTGAGGACAAAATTCCTGTGTTTGTTTGACCCTTCCACGCTCTAATGAGGACATGGTATGTTGGTTCACACAAGTATTTGATGCATTGAGAGTGAGAACGGGTCAGAAACCCTAACGGCAGAAACAGGAAGCACTTATTCAGCTGCTGTTAGTGTGTGAGCGTGTTAGCGTGTTAGCTTGCTCTGATGACTCCTCAGGACTTACCAGCTTGGCTGTTTTTCTCGCGTGTCGACATTTTGGCTGGTTTGAGACAAAGACATTGTCACTCAACAACAACACAAACAACAATATAAATAACACAAACAACACAACAAGAACACAAACAAGAGGAGGAGCCATGACGCCGACGATCAACCGTTTCATTTAACGCACGTTCATGTGTTCGTTTCAAACATTGTCACAACTAATGAACTGTAAAATCTCCAGTGTGGTCATTGTTCTGTACGTCTATAGAGGTAAATTTATTATTGAGTATAAACAAGCTGTTCAAAATGTGATGCAGAGAGAAGAATGGTAGGAATTATTATTTTGTATTATTCTGAATAACAATTAGAGTGAAAAGAGTAAAAACATTAAGGCATAAATGATATACAACCGTAGTATTGACAAGTTCTTTCATTGGTGCATCAAATTTATTATCAGGAGACAAACGGGTAAAGAGGCTAAGTAAGGTAAGTATTGATGCAGAACCAAACAGATACGAGTATCAATAAGAGTAAGAGTATTGATCCAGAACCAAACAGATACGAGTATCAATAAGAGTAGAAGTATTGATCCAGAACCAAACAGATACGAGTATCAATAAGAGTAAAAGTATTGATCCAGAACCAAACAGATACGAGTATCAATAAGAGTAGAAGTATTGATCCAGAACCAAACAGATATGAGTATCAATAAGAGTAGAAGTACTGATCCAGAACCAAACAGATACGAGTATCATTAAGAGTAGAAGTACTGATTAAACTCTTAACATCCTGACAGGAAACTTTATGAAATTCAAAAGCAGCTTACATCATCTTCATGTGTGTCATCGTTTTAAAAGGTGTGAACCATGTTTTCATGTTTTCAGTGATCTGACCAGTCAGTAGCAGCAGGTTACCATGGTAATTTACCCAGTTACCATGGTGAGCCATTTCCTCGATACCAAATAATCTAAACTGGTCTCACTTCGGTCACCATGACGACGTTGACAACATAGTGTCCTCTGAGAGTCTCGACAGGACAGACAGACTGAAATATTCTAAAGTGTCTCAGAGGCTGACTTCTGTTACACATAATGATGATGATGAATAATGTATTAACATTAATATGCATTTACCTTGACTGATCACCGGATCTTTGTGTCTGAAACGAGAAGAATCAAACATCTCACTTTGTGTTTGTGACTCAGGATTAAAGATTTACTTATAAACAGTAAAACTATTTCATACTGGTGCACCGAAACGAAATGTGTACACAGTAGTGCTGGGCGGTACGACCAAAAATGTGTTTCACGATATTTTTTAAGATTCTGCCGGTTTCACGGTATATCACGGTATTGTTTTTCTATATGTTTATAGAGGCTCACTCTACTGTCAGGAGTACATAGAATATAAAACATGTTAATGTCTTCATGTATGAATTCTTTGCTTACTAGAGGGGGTGCTCGTTTGTTCCTCTAATGTTGGGATAGCAGTCTGGCTGAAGTATTGTGGCCCCGGTCAGACGTACCTTGAATCCAGTGTTTTAATCATTGCTCTGAGTCTTTCTCGACTGTCTGTAGTGGGACCAGGTCCTTGCAGAGCTGGATCCTTATTGTGTTCGTAATGTCGCTCCACCGCTTGCTTTTCTTGTCATATGCAGCCTCGAGCTAATGCCTCTTCAAGTGATGTCTGACCCTTTAGCTTCACTGTTTCACTCGCGCTAACGTTACTGGTTGACGGCCGTCATCACACTCTTGGTATTCCAACTCATGTTTTCTGCTGAGGTGATGGAGTAAGTTGCTCGTGTTACCACCTGCGGCAACAACAGTGGCTCAATAAACTTTGCAATATATAGTCTTTTGGTCTACGTCGGATTTTCAAACACTTCCAAACAGCAGACCCAGCTCGTCTCTTGGGCACAGACTTTACATTACATTACAGTCATTTAGCAGACGCTTTTATCCAAAGCGACTTACAATTCAGAGTCTATCACATTTCTACACCGTAGGCACAGCTACGGGAGCAATTTTGGGGTTAAGTGTCTTGCTCAAGGACACATCGACATGCGACTAGCAGAGCCGGAGCTGGGGATTGAACCGCCGATCCTCTGATTGAAAGATGGCCCTGCTATCCACTTAGCCACAGTCGCCACAGACTCTATCGGTGCATCTCCGGTCTGTCTTTGTTCCTCCTGCGTCGCTCTGTTCTGTTCTTTAATGTAACGTTACTGTAGCGACGGAGCCTCTCCCAGCTGTTAGCAGACTGTTGGGCTAGCTAGCTTTACCCAGCATGCCGGTCAGCGGTGTAATTTTATAAATGTACAATTATTAGTGTTACAAATTGTTTGCGTGTCACAAACTGTTGTGTCGTGGTGTTTTGTTGTTACAGAGTGTTAGTTGTAGGTTATTAGTTGTTATACAGTTATAACCATGACTAGGGTTCCCTCTCAACACACTTAAGACAACTAGCTCCCACCGTAGCGCTCATAGCAGCCAACAATATATTCTGCTGCCTGTTGAAGAGCGACAGCAGTTGTTTCTGTGCACCGGTATGACGGTGTGTGAAAAATTAATATCATACGTGAAATTAAAACCGGTATACCGCCCAGCACTAGTACACAGTATGCATTTGTATACAGCATGTGTGTATACAGTATGTATACGTGTATACAGTATATATGCATATACAATATGTATATGTGTACAGTATATGTGTATACAGTAGACATGTTTGTATAAAATATACATGTCTGTATACAGTAGATGTGTGTAAACAGTACATATAAATATATTTGTACATAGTATTCAGAGGTACCTGTCAGAGTTCTTGACCACCTTGGCGAGCAGTCTGGAGGTGGAAGCAGCTTTCACCAGTTTGTTCCTGTTTTCCTCTGAACTGTCCCAGGTGCTGCTCTGAGAACGCTCCATACCTGAGGACCGCTTCACACTGGGGCCTCTGATCTCACACACACACACACACACACACACACACACACACACACACACACACACACACACACACACACACACACACACACACACACACACACCAGGAGGAGGTGGAAGTCATTGAGTTTCATCTTAATTTATCTTCATGTATTCATGTTTCATATTTCATCTCTGATTGATTGGTTTGTATTTGAAGCATGTTGTGATAATAATAATAATGAAATAATAATCAAACAGTCATTCAGCACCAAGCTGCTTGGTGCTGAATGACCAGTAGAGCTGATGGCCAGAGACAGAAACAGTAGTTCTGATGACTTGAACCATCTTATCTGGGTCCAGTTTATGTGTGGTCTTTATAAATCTGGTACTTTTACAAATACTGTTACTTATTCAAGGTAAGATTCTAGTTGAATTATTATTGTTATATTCCAACAGAACAAATCCTGCTTTCAATCATGAAGGTCATTTTATAATTGCATATTTATATTGCTGAAAATGAATTCATTTTTAGAGTTTTGCATGAACTAAATATAAAAGAGCCATCTTTGGTTTTCTAAATAACATTGAATTTAATTCATGACCAGTAGCTGGTCATCAGAGGCCACATGAACCAGAGCCAGGTGAGAAGGTGGTCATCCCATGATGTCACATCTACTGTTTTATATCTATGTTTATGTTGTTCTTCATCTTTAACCACCACTCAAATCTAAATGATCTTCAAAATCTTCCTCCAGAGACACAAAGTACACAACCCAGGAGGAGGTTAGTGAGCTGGGATACATCAGTAACTCAAGCCCCAGGCTGCAGGAGGCCTGCTGGAGGAGGAGCAAGAGGAAGAAGAGAAGGAGGAAGAAGAGAAGGAGGTCCTCAGGTGAAGCTGGGAGCAGAACAGGTTAGTGCTTTTGATAAAAGGCAGCCCAGCCAAAGAGTTATGAGCAGCCAGGGAGGACAAGGAGTCAGGAGGACCCAGGACCTCCAGCAGAAGATTCAGGAGGAGAAGCTAGAAGAAGGAAATGTTAGTAATTTAAACACACAGCCCAGCCTGAGCTTTCTACCAGAAACATATACAAAGAGTATAGAGGGTCTCCAGGAGGGTCCAGGAGGCCTCAGAAGATTCCAAGAGACCTCAGAAGACTTCAGGAGGCATCAGAAGACTCAAGGAGGCCTCTGGAGACTCCAGGAGGCTTCAGGATCTCCAGGAGGCCTCAGAAGACTCTAGGAGGCCTCTGGAAACTTCAGGATCTCCAGAAGTCCTCAGAAGACTCCAGGAGGCCTCAGAAGACTTCAGGAAGCCTCAGAAGACTTCCGGAGGCCTCTGGAGACTCCAGGAGGATAACGGAGGCTAAGTATTCAGCCAATCAGGTACACCTGAACATGAGCTGGTCAGGTGGGACTGTGGGTCCTCAGGGGCGGGGTTAAGAGGGGCGGGGTTATGAGATCTCAGAGCAGCATCAGCAGGAAGTGAGGTCAGTTACAGCCGACAGATAACAAAGTGGAACCTTTTGGGAGGAACGTGGCCTTTATTGCTGTCAGCAGACTGGGCTGGTCTCTGCTGCTGAAGGGTCGGGGGCGTCTGGGGAGGGTGGGGGGAGGAGGGAGAGGGGGACAGGTCCTTTGGGTGAGGAGGCTCCTCATGTTCCTGGATCTCCTCCATCTGAGACCGCTGGCTGCTGACCTCCTTTTTCCTGTCCGCTCCACTGTGGACAAGACCAGGACCATGAGAGTCCACAAACTACTGGTTATACTGGTTTCAATTCAATTTATTTTGTATAGAGAGAGAAGAGAGAGGAGCTCAATGTATCCTAGGAAGTCCCCCGGGAGTCTAGGCCTATAGCAGCTTATCTAGGGGCTGGTCCAAGGCAAACCTGAGCCAGCCCTCACTATAAACCTGAACGAGCCCTCACTATAAACCTGAACCAGCCCTAACTATAAACCTGAACCAGCCCCAACTATAAACCTAAGCTAGCCCTAACTATAAACCTGAACCAGCCCTAACTATAAACCTGAACCAGCCCTAACTATAAACCTGAGCCAGCCCTAACTATAAACCTGAGCCAGCCCCAACTATAAACCTGAACCAGCCCCAACTATAAACCTGAACCAGCCCCAACTATAAACCTGAACCAGCCCTAACTATAAACCTGAACCAGTCCCAACTATAAACATGAACCAGCCCTAACTATAAGAGTTATCAAAGAGCAAAGTCTTAAGCCTACTCTTAAATGTGGTGAGTGTGTCTGCCCCCCAGACTGAAATGGGAAGCTAGTTCCACAGAAGAGGAGCTTGATAACTGAAGGCTCTTGTTCCTGTTCTACTTTTTAAGACTCTAGGAACCACAAGTAACCCTGAATTTAGGGAGCACAGCTCTCTAGTAGGGTAGTATGGTTCTATAAGCTCTTTAAGATATGATGGTGTCTGACCAATTACGGCTTTGTAGGTGAGGAGAAGGACAGGGAGCCAGTGCAGAGAAGCTAATACAGGAGTAATATGATCTCTTTCTTTTCTACTTCTTCCACTTTCTACTTTGTTCCTACTGCGTTCCACTGGTTCTACTGATTCTACTTTGTTCCTACTGCGTTCCACTGGTAATAACTAGAATCACTGGACCGTGAGAGTCCACAGCTTCCCCTAAAGCTACACTGATTCTACTGCATTCTACTGACCTCTACTGGTTCTACTGTGTTAGGGTTTATCCCAGTAAAGACGGTTTAGTGCTGGGCGGTTTACAGTCTCATACGGTAGACCGGTTATAATTTCCCGTACGATATTAATCCTCATATACTGTGGAATTATTAACATCATTAACAACAATTCATAACCCAAAACTTTAAATAAACAATCCTAAAATAAAGTCCACTGTGGTTTAGACCTGAGCACTGGACACATGTACTCAAATAAACAGTAGACTCATTGATTATATCAATCACATCGATCAGATCTGGTCTGCAGACACTCTGGAGGTTGAAATGAAAGAGCTGAAAAGAAAAATCAGTGAAAGTTAACTAAACAGTTTGAACCCTGAACGCATCTAAACATTAACAGGAGGAGCAGGATGTAAATGTCCAGATCAGTTAGACCAGACTTAAACAGACTGATTGATGTGTGAATATAGCCGGTTATCATCCAGAGAACTACCAGCCAGTGTTGATGACGTTTCTATGCTACTGGTGAAGAAGGTATTTTACACGAAGACACCAACAAAAGCATCTAACTGGAGACACAACTTGATTCGACAGAGACTCGGTTGTGTTGCCTCCTGCCCACTCTATCCCCTCGCCCACCAAAGACAGCATCTACAGAAGGTGAGATCTCCTGTTGTGTACGACAGGTGCGAAGGGAAACTCCCTTCATAGTTCATAAGAGAAAACAGCTTCAGTGTGTGTGTGTGTGTGTGTGTGTGTGTGTGTGTGTGTGTATATGTTAGTCTGTATTTTTACCTCTTGGCGGCAGACGACATCGTCTCCTTCCTGGTGACCGAGGTGGAGTCTCTTTTTCGCCCAGACGTTCCTCCGTTAGAGATGCAGGACATTGAATAAGCTTCACGAAGAGCGGCACCGCCTGATGGGGAAGCATACTAATGTTAACACGGGTTATAATGTTTATATA